AGTTGTTGTAACTTACGTGTACATGCTCACATCTGAACCAAACTTTACGTGCTTGATAACTCTCCCACCCCGCTATGGAGGACCGATCCTGACACAGTCAGAAATAAATACAGAAATAAATAAATGCTCAATAAATAAATAAGCATCCAATTAAATACACAAAAAAATAAAGTAAATAAATAAATGTAGGTAGTAATTAAATTATACAAGGAGACATAAATGTATATATTTTAATTAGTGCCTTTACTTATTCACCTTTGTTATAATTACCTTATTTATTTATTCTCCGTTATAATCTTCAACTTTATTTATTACTAATTTTTTAAATGTATTTATTTGTGTGTGTTTTAATATTTTTGTCTGTTTTATTCTTCCTTTGTATTTATTTACCTTATTTATTTTCTTTCTCTTTTATTTCTTACTGTCCTTTTTAAATTTCTGTATGCATTTCTGCCTCATTATGCAAATGAGGAGGGGCTGTGTCTCAAGGGGTCATCTTCTCTGCTATTGGTGGACCAGTCAGACAGGAGAGCTCCTACTCTGCCTGCAGACATCAACGATCTTGCCCCTCACACAGTCAGATGGCTTCCTTCAGTGCGCTGAGGTGTTTAACAACTCTGAAGACAATACTACCAGCCATATCTTCCTTCTCTTTTCACGTAGACGCTCCGACAGACAGTGCTTTCAGTTTGCTGCATGCATGGACACAGAACTGCGGTATAGGGAGAAGCACACGGTCAGCTGGCTGCAGCTAAATCTGGAGTGCACTCGTATTCAATTCTGTATGGTAAATTCAGTTTTAACGGAGCAGAGCGAGCTGACAGGCAGAGTTAGAGACTTTTTCTGTCCGTTTCTCTCTTTACAAAGACGCATGTTGCAGTCAGAGTCTTCTCTGAGATGCGAGCACGACATACAACACAATTTATCAAATTACACAACGGATATACAGTATGAAAATAAGATTGATTGGATTATACTCACAGGAAGTATAAAACCTCTTACATAGGTCTATTAAAAGTAAAGTAACACAAAAATGTCAGGGAAATTACTTTACTTAGATTTCAGGACTGCAGTTGTACATTTGAAATACCTTCCTACCTTTCTGATAGGAAGCCTTCTTGAGGTGGTATAAAACATTTCTTCTTATATTCTGATTTGAGTTGTGGACAACTATGACCACATGAATTAAAAAAACATTTCACTGCCCAAGTCAGCTATAACACAAGTCTTGTTCATCAGACTACATGCTGTACAGTATTTGTGGACAGATTTTGTCCCAGGATTTATTATGCATTTCTTCTTCTTCGTTGCATGATTTAGAATAATAAGGTGAGAAATGGGTCTATTCTGAGTTCATCCTGCACTGCAGCAGCTAATAAAGTCCATTTAATCCCAAAAACACTTTTCTTTTAGGCAGGCTGGAGCAGAAAACAACTCCCCTTTCTCAAGTTGTACAGTAATGTCACATGTGTATGAAGGTGGATCAAACAAGCTAATCTTAAATGTCAAAGTAGAGAGGAGCCTAGTAGGCCTATTTATTTTCATTCATTACACAATATGAATGAGCTATGCAGACAGTTGTAAAGAAAGAACATCTTTTTCTTCTGTTCTCTACTTGTTATAGTTACACAGTATTAGGGGTGTGGGCTGTATTAAAAGTATCCACTGTTCTCCCATGCTCTAACACACAGTAACGATGAAATGTGTGCTGTTCTCACATTCTTCCTCTGTATGTACACATAAGCAACAAGGCAGGGAAATATAAAAGGAATTTATTTTATTGTTTGGGTACATTATTGTTCAGTGTACATGCTCACATCTGAAACAAACTTTACGTGCTTGATAACTCTCCCACCCCGCAGACATCTACACACCAATACCGATTTATATTCATAGCGGCAAGTGCTATGTAGCGCCACATAGGGGACACAGGAAGTGACATATAGCACCTTCATGCGGCGTCGGAACCGCGTAGGAAATTCACAGCCGCACCGGCAGAGCTCCAGAATATGCAACTCGGCCGACTCACGCGCGAACGCGCTACAAGTGCGAGGGCCCGCCCAACGCTGCTTGCAGCTTTAATTGCAGACTGTAACTGGTTGCTGCGCTTTATTATGGGTCCTCTGAATGCATCCCGAGATATCTCTCTAAAGAGATCCGAGTTTCACTTGATTATCTGCTGGCAATGCTTAAGTTGTTTCCACAGGTGCACCAATTGAGAGTTACAGATGTGATGGAGACCATAAGTCCTTGTGATATGTGATGTTCTGGACATTTTTTCTTAATGTAATTAAGCCTTTTCTTAGTTATTTCAGTTAAATATTATCCTTTACAATTGGCTGACAGTGCGCCAGTTGACAGCTCTACAAGTAGACATTTCAATAAAATAACTCGTGTTTGGTGTGTTAGTCCAACGCCGAACCGAAGTGTGGATTGTAGCGCGCATTCTTCATGTCTTCTTTTATTTTTGCTGATGTGGATCGTTTTCACTTAACGACGCAACAGAAAATGAAGAGATGTTAAACGGAGTTTGGCGCGTATGTGTCGCAGTTCATGTGTCGAACAAAGACTGCGGCTTCAGCTCGGGTTTGGCTACACCAAGGCGTGGATATCGTTATGTTAACTAAAATTATAAACCCTGCTGGTTAGTGTGACTTTCTAAGTTACTTTCTAAACTATGTTTTCTGTCAAGCAGTCAAAAGAAGACCGTAAGTCATTGGAGATGTTGTTTAAGTATTCAAATAGGTTCATCGAGCTTACCTGGAGGGAGAGGCTCACAGTGTGGGTGGTCGCTTCATAGCCTAACTTACTAAAATTAGTTCTAATCGGTATTTCCTTCGTCTCCGTTTCTTTGTCAGAATCAGGTGCATTGGAAAACCTCGCCTCTCTTTCACCACCTCTCTGTGTTGCTGCTGCACTGTTACAACACAGCTCCACCTCAGCAAATAAGGCTGGCTTTACCAGTCTGACGAGCACAACAATCCAACCTGGCAACTTTCTGACAAGTCACTTATTATAGTGAGTCAGGACCGACATCTCCAGCCAGGCCCCCTCCCTCACTGCATGCACAGACACATCATTACAATAATACAACAAAATAGTAGCCTACAAATATCACTGCTTTTTTTATAATGTATTCAGGCAAAGCCTCACACTCAGTCAGCACTGCATTTAAACAATTATTGCACAGTATCTCTGCATAAAAGCTACATGTGCTGTAATTAGGGCTCAACTAGTTGAAGCTATGACCTTCAGAGGCATATCTGAGAATTTAGTGTGAAATTTTCCATAACACTGTTGTATGCTGGGCACTGATTGCTTACTTTTACTAAAGTGACATTCTCAGTGCAGGACTTTTGCCTGTAAAAAAATTTTTACAGTGTGGTAGTATGTTTACTTAAAGCTGGAGTTACATAAAAATGAACATCCCTTATATTCACTTCATCCTTTGCCAAACAAGTTTGCTGATGAAGCCTATCACCGGGTAAGTCTATCTATATTCGCAGTATATCTGAGTTTTTAATCTGCTGGTGATGTGATGTGATCCTACGCTGACGCACCTTTAAGTTTTAGTGACATCTAGTGGTGAGGGTTGCGAATTGCAACAAATTGCTCTCAGGTATGACCACTGACAGATAACAGGACAATGGAAGCCTCACTGTTTCTGCACCACAGTCCATTATAAACCACATAATACATGAAGTTTACAAAGGCATAGTCAGGTGAGGATCAAGGCTCCTCTCCACTTTAATTAGATAAGCAATCTGCAAATCTTAAAATGTCTTTTTAAATGTTTTGAAATATTATAGAAACACAAAGTAGTACTAATAGCCATCATTTTAGCTTGTGGTAAAACGGTGCAACATTTTTAATGGGCATTAACCTGGTTAATTATGAAATCACACATTTGTGTACACAGGAACGAAGCAATAACCTACAAACAGTGGTGGAAAGAAACGAAGTACAAATAATTCGTCACTGTACTTAAGTATTTTTTTTTTTCGGTATCTGTACTTTACTTGAGTATTTTTTGTGGTTACAACTTTTTACTTTCACTTCGCTACATTTCTAAGCCAAATATCGACTTTTTACTCCATTACATTCTGCACGAGAGCTCGTTACATTGGTATTAGCATCTTCTGCAGCGAAGATATATATATAGAAAATATAATAGTCAATAGCACTGACTGGAGCACCTGGAGGAAACCCACGCAGACACGGGGAGAACCCGCGACCTTCTGGCTGTGAGGCCACAGTGCTATCCACTGGACCACTGTGCCGCCCTGAACTGTTACTATTCCAACAAATGATCCAGCAGATTGGCCCCCAGTCTTAACAGTCTTCATGAGGACGGAGTTAGAAACAGAAATTAACACATTCATACACATTCAGCAATTTGAGGTTTAATATTTTGCCCAAGGACACTTCAACTTAGATTATAAATCCATGAGCTCAATTTATTAATTAATAAAATGTGCTCAACATGAACTTCTATGCCACATTAAATTCAAATCACAACACATAAAAACAAAGTAAAGAGGTGTATTGCATTGCGCTGTTGTCTAGCGTAGACTTGCCACTACTAAATATAAAGCACTTGCATTAGTTTTCAGGAGGAGTTGCAGGCTTTTTTTAATACAGTGTAGTGAGCAAAAGTCTTAAAAAGCAGCATCGGTACATTATTTCTGTACCATTCATGTGTGTTGAGCCAGCAGAATGTCCGCCATCTCAGCCAGAAGGACTTTAGTGGATATAAACACAGTATAATTTTTTCTCCATGAGTCAGAGGAAAAAACTATAATAATGGAATTCAGGCTATTTTTTTAAAAAAAAATTACATTTTTTAAATTTATTTATTTCTTTTATTTACCCAGGTGCTTTCTTTTTCAGTTAAGCAGAATTATTGGTGTAATTACTACTAGAGTTTTAAAGATTTTGATCTTAAGTCTTTGTTTGTGGAGAGAGGTCAGCAACACCCTGCTCCCCATTGTTTTTCTTACCTGTTCCCTCATGCGGTCCTGGTGTCCCATGATAATGGCAGCATGGTGAGGATACTTCTGCCTCAGGTTGTCCAGGAACACCTCCTTCTTCCTCACCACATCAGAGTGCTGCGTCATCAGGCTGTCCAGCTGGCTGTCCCTGCTGCTGGCACTAGCAGTTGTGGCGTAGTTTTGTGGTAAGGTGCTGGGAGAGAGTGGATCTGACCCATAGGAAAAGTCCGTGTCACAGAGTAGGCTGCTTTGGGTGTACTGTTTGTCCTGCATCAGACGTTCAGTGCTGCTGTCCACAACAGCAGAAGAAGAGATTCTAGACAGGGAGGTTCCAGGATCTGAGTGGGATGGATGTATAGAGAAAAAGAATAGACAATGATGAAAGAGAAGAAAATCTAGCATAAAAAAGACAGAGGCTGAGAGAAAAGAAAAAATGATAAGACAGGATGAAATGTATGGCTATTACAGTGTGTCATCCTTTTTTCACAAAACTGAATATGTTGAAATATTGAAGATATGTAAAAACATTTTGTTGTATGTTTTACAGCTCACTCAGTCTGTATATGTGAAATAAACCTGTGTGAATGACAAGCAGTCTCTGTGATTCTGCCCTTCTAAAACAGTACTGAAAAATACTTAATTAAAAGTGTCTGAACTTACATTAGAATCTTATTGTAGATATTAATATTGGTCAGATTATATGGGAAATAAAGCTTGATTTTATAGTTATGGCCAAGGCTAAAGCCAGGGCCTGTATTTAGCAAAATGAGAAAACATGAAAAACATAATATTTCAGATTATACAGATAAAAGTATGAGTCCCTCACTGTAACTCTTACACATAAATGTTAGTATAATAATTCATCCAATTTCTTACACCTTAAAAATACTCAAATTTAGGAGAGCTTCAGTGTTCTCTCAGGTTGGTTTGTTGTAGACTTGACATGACTGCTGTAAAGAAACAGAGGTGAGCCCACACCTTGTGTCATATGTAACCAACATGTATAGTTTACAACAGGCTGGTTTTAGACTATTATGTGCATTTATTTTAAACACTTGGGATTGGATGTTATATCACGTTTTTTCTCATTTTTTTGCATTTACTTTACATAATGGAAAATCTAAAGAATGTAGCGTTTATGCACCTTATGCCTTCTCTACCGCTCCCCTATACTGCTAATAGCATGCAACACTAGCAAAATTGAGTCCGCTAACATCAACAAACAACTGCACATACCACAACACAAAGTCCGAAATCAAAGCCAACATTAGGCCTACTGCAGAGCATGTTAAATATATTGTGATATTGTGGTTTTAGCTGACCAATGTTGCTAACGTTAGCTTGCTTGCTAACACTAGTTGCCAACTAAGAAATAAGGGACAAATACTGCACATTGCTGCAGCTCCTCTTTTCACCCTGTGTTGAAGGCTTCGTTTTAGCTACGGAGTGATACATCTTGTCTCTAAATAATCTTTGTTGGGAGTTGCACATGCCCAGTTCCTAGTTAAGGACTACTAGCCAATCAGAAAAAGAAAAGGGCGGGTCAGCCAGAAGCCGGTAAACAGCATTGATTTAGCTGTAGGCTACATGTTGCCGACCAGCTTGGCAACAAAGACTGGAGCGAGAGTTTCAGAGTGGTGAGTTATTAATCTGTAACAAAAGGATCTTTCATCCATAAAGTTTTAACTGAGCTCTGTCTCTACAGCACAATAACAGGGAGAGGAGAGCTGTGTGGACTTTGGGCTTTTTCACTTTGCAAACCTATTACATGCACAAAAAAGGTATATGACTCAATAAAGGAGAGGGAAAAAGGGAAAAAGCATAATACCACCTCTTTAATACCAGCCCAACACCAGTTCAGCACAGTGGCCTAGTGCAGAGAACTGCTGCCTCACAGTTAGAAGGTCCTGGGTTTGAACCTTCGTCCCCGGCATTTCTGAGTTTGCATGTTCTCCCCGTGTTTGTATGGGTGTCTGGGGGGTGCTCCAGTTTCCTCCCACCATTAGACATGCTTGCTGGAGTTGATAATTCTACCAAAGTTAACTGTTCTCCACAGCAAGCACCACAAGGGTATGATAAGCAAGCCGCTTAAGCAGGCCTCCACAACCTTAACCAACCCCATTCATCTCTCCCCTCTCAACCCCTCCATCCTGTTTCTCCTAAAACTTTTCATTATATGAATAAACTCCCTTCTTATAACTCACAATTGGCATGGTCTTTGTTAGTGAAAGTACAGAATTTGGTGCTAGACCCATAACTGTGAGGAATCTTGGAGTTATCTTTGATCAGGACATGTCGTTTAAGTCTCACATTAAGCAAATTTCAAGGACCGCCTTTTTTGACCTACGTAATATTACGAAAATCAGGAACATCCTGTCTAAAAATGATGCAGAAAAACTAGTCCATGCATTTGTTACTTCTAGGCTGGATTACTGCAATTCCTTATTATCAGGCTGCTCGAAAAAGTCCATTAAGACTCTTCAGCTGATCCAGAATGCTGCAGCACGTGTTCTGACAGGAACCAGGAAAAGAGATCATATTTCTCCTGTTTTAGCTTCTCTGCATTGGCTTCCAGTAAAATCCAGAATAGAATTTAAAATCATTCTTCTTACCTACAAAGCTCTTAATGGTCAGGCACCATCTTATCTTAAAGAGCTCATAGTACCTTACTACCCCACCAGAGCACTGCGCTCCCAGAATGCAGGGTTACTTGTGGTTCCTAGAGTCTCCAAAAGTAGACTAGGAGCCAGAGCGTTCAGCTATCAAGCTCCTCTCCTGTGGAACCAGGTTCCAGTTTGGGTTCAGGAGGCAGACACCATCTCCACATTTAAGAGTAGGCTTAAGACTTTCCTCTTTGATAAAGCTTATAGTTAGGGCTGGCTCAGGTGAGTCCTGAACCATCCCTTAGTTATGCTGCTATAGGCCTAGACTGCCGGGGGATTTCCTATGATGCACTGAGCTCCTCTCTCCTCTACTTTCTCTCCCTCTGTATGCAACCTCATCCCATTATTGCATGTTACTAACACAACTTCTCCCCTTTCCGGTAGTCTTGTGCTTTCTCGTCCCTCTCCTCTCTCCTCCCATCACTTCCTGCAGGTGTTTCTGGCTCTGGAGCTGTGGAGTCTGGATCTGTGGTTGCGGGTCACCTGCTGCCCCCGTGTTCCTGCTCGACACCCTCTGCTGCAACTATTTTTACTAGTCCTATTGTTATTATTGTTATTATAATCATTAACATTGTGATTGTTATCATTAATACTACTATAAATATCTATACCATTTTTCATTTAGTCTATCAGTCACCTTTACTGTCTGTACCTCTGTGTGTGTATATTATGTAGGCTGCCTCCCTCCCCTCTCTCTCCTTCCATCCCTCTCTTTTTCTCTCTGTTCCTCTCCTGCCCTCTCCCTCTCTCTCTCTCTCTCCCTCTCTCTCTCTCTCTCTCTCTCTCTCCTTCACCCCCAACCGGTGGAGGCAGATGGCCGCCCACCCTGAGCCATGGTTCTGCTCGAGGTTTCTGCCTCTTAAAAGGAAGTTTTTCCTTGCCTCTGTCGCCTAGTGCTGCTCTTGGAGGGAATTGTTGGGCTTCTGTAAATAACATCACAGAGTACGGTCTAGACCTGCTCTTTATGAAAAGCGCTGTGAGATAACTGTTGTTTTGATTTGGCGCTGTATAAATAAAATTGAATTGAATTGAATTAAGTGTATTACAGTATGTAATTGGTTTCTTTGGAACAGAACAGATTTTTTTGCTGTTGTGGTCGGAAACAAACACGTATGCTTCCCTATTTTAAGTTTGTAAATATATTATGCCCAGTCCTCAGTAAAGCACGTCTTTCAGCCATAATCGAAGAGAGGACATGAAAGACAATGTGTTGTTGCTAATAGTATACTATAATATTAGAAGGGAGAGGAGAGGTGTGTGCTGCACCCTTTTATCAAAGTTATTCTGCAAAATGTTGCAGTCAGATAAATGTTAAATAAAAGTAACTACAGTATTGGACTATGAAATGTAGTAGAATAGAATTATAAAGTAGCATGACTTGAAATAAAAGTACAATTACCTTAAAACTGTACTTAAATACAGTACTTAAATGCTGTATAGTACCTGTTTACTGATATGACACACCATGGCTAGAGGGGCTGAGGCAATGTGCCACACATAGGATTTGCAACCGCTCTGAAGTGGTGTTATGCAGTCCCAGAGCCGTTGATAAAATAATTAGTACAGTCTAAATGCCACTGATCCAGGCCATACTACAGCTTACTGCTGTGGCTGTTCGTCTCCAGAGCTGTGTGGCATTATACATTGTCAGACCTGCAAACACACACATATGTACACCATGAATTCACAGCAGAGGTGAAACATCTGTGGTGGAGAGGCACTGCATGAGTGACCGTCCATCCAAACCACTCTGATTCTGACCTCAGTAATGAACTCCAACATGTCATTGATGTTATTTAAGCAGAGAAGACAAATTGGGAAGTGGACTGTCCTCTAACTCTCTAACCTCTAATGGTGCTTTCAGACCAAGTTTGAGTTTACATACAAAGTCAATGCAATTCAATTCAATTCAATTCAATTTTATTTATATAGCGCCAAATCACAACAACAGTTATCTCACAGCGCTTTTCATAAAAGAGCAGGTCTAGACCGTACTCTGTGATGTTATTTACAGAAGCCCAACAGTTCCCACCAAGAGCAAGCACTAGGCGACAGAGGCAAGGAAAAACTTCCTTTTAAGAGGCAGAAACCTCGAGCAGAACCATGGCTCAGGGTGGGCGGCCATCTGCCTGGGGTGAGAGAGAGAGAGAGAGAGAGAGAGAGAGAGAGATGTAAGGAGAGAGAGAGAGAGATGTAAGGAGAGAGAGATGTAAGGAGAGAGAGAGGGGAGGGAGGCAGCCTACACAATATACACACAGAGGTACACACAGTGAAGGTAATGTTGCTATAGACTAAATGAAAAATGGTACAGATATTTATAATAGTGTTAATGGTAACCATCGTAATGTTAATGATTATAATAACAATAATAACAATAGACTAGCAAAATAGTTGCAGCAGAGGGTGTCGAGCAGGAACACGGGGGCAGCAGGTGACCCGCAGCCACAGCTCCAGACTCCACAGCTCCAGAGCCAGAAAACCTGCAGGAAGTGATAGGAGAGAGAGAGAGACGAGAAAGCACAAGACTACCAGAAAGGGGAGAAGTTGTGTTAGTAACATGCAATAATGGGATAAGGTTGCATACAGAGGGAGAGAAAGTAGAGGAGAGAGGAGCTCAGTGCATCATGGGAAATCCCCCGGCAGTCTAGGCCTATAGCAGCATAACTAAGGGATGG